TTTCCCATTGCCCTGGCCAAGCAAATGAGATTTGCTTTAAAGACTTTATAAACTCTGTGTTAAAGCTGTCATCATCCCCTAGAAATTGTGTTATAAAAGTGTCAGAGAACACAGTTGTCATTAGGATTTGCTCCTTAAGGTCATATGGATGTAATAGAAAAATATACTAGCTATTAATAATCCAAATGTATCCTTCTGCTCTGTTAAAATCCAAACTTGGTTTCAGCCAGGAATGAAAGAGCCCTCTGAACAGCCCTCAAGTTGGGAAAAGGCAAATATTATTAAAGCAAGGAAAACTCTTTATGCAATAGTAAAGGCCAGCACATGAGAAAGAAGAGTTTGTCATCCTAGAAATATAATACAAAAATGTCAGAAACATTTAATACATGTGAGTGCATGGCTGAAAATTAAAATCTTTGCTGTTTATTTGACAATTTATGAAGCTCAAAAATGGAAGTGAAACAGAATGCCTGACACAGTAGAAGGGGGCCTAAATATAATTGGGTTTTTTTAAAAAAGGCAGAACAACAAAAATCAGTGGGATGCTGTCATATCTGGGTAGAATCTATACAGGGAAGACAGGTTATAAAAACCCATATAGGTGAAAGAGCAGACCTATGCTGTACCCAGAAAGAAGCACATAACTTCTAAAGAGATACTATTCCTAAGGTTTAAGAATCTTCTTATTAAAATTATTTCTTTTCACTAAGGTTATGGTGGGAGCATCATTGCTACTAAGGGCACCTGACAGTTCAACAGGGTTTGAAGATGCCACCTGTTTCTTCTGCACATGAATGTCTTGTTCAGTTTTAAGTATACCGGTATGCACTACATTCAGTAACAACAGCAGGTATTCTCCACTCCCTTGGGATTTTTTATCTGAACTTAGTCTCTTAAGTTTGGGAAAGTTTCTGGTTGAATTTTGAGGTTTAAAGAGGAAAGCCTGGCAATGTTCATTTTCTTTTTATATCTGCTAGGCTCATTCCCTTTTAACAAGACCACTTTCTACAAAAATTTTTCTGCAAAGGTATATGTCACAGTAGATCATTAAGTTGTATACATCTGAGTTACTCCTCTTGAGAGATCCTAGTTCAAATGAAAGCAGCTACACTGCAAAATAAAAATACAGCTGCTGTGTTCACATAGGTGCTGCACTCGTATGCTGCTAAGTCTTATGGAGGACTATCATATAGTTTTTGGCCCTTCAGTAAGCTGAACTGATGCTCTGTGAAGTGTTTCCCAATGAACTGTGAGATGGCATTGAAGGACCAGCAGTGCTCAGGTGGTGCTAGCCTGTGTCTGAATTGCAAAGTAGTTATGTTAGCTGTTGATCAGTTCTCCTAATTCCTGACAGACCAGTGAAGTTAGTAATACTACATCAAGTTGAGTGTTTGTATGTGGATAGGGCTTGACTTAATAGCAATGGATGCAAAATAACTAGGGATCTACTGGACTCAGAGAGGCAGCCAGCTGATTTTGCAGGCAGATCTTAGGGCCGGCCATCGTTTTTACAGGCTGAGCATGGCAGGCCCACCCTCTGATTGGCTGAGGGTACCAGGTAGTCCCCCCCGCCCCAGCTTTTCAGATGGCCCCAAACTGCCACTTAGATTGTAATGTGTCAATGGCTTCTGTGGACTTAATCCCCATGGAAGCCCGTGAAAGCCATTAACTGTCACTTATATTGCATATAGTTTCATAGTTTCATAGATATTAGGGTCGGAAGGGACCTATTAGATCATCAAGTGTGACCCCCTGCCCTGGGCAGGAATGAGTGCTGGGGTCAGATGACCCCAGCCAGGTGTCTGTCCAATCTCCTTTTAAATACCCAAGGAAGGGGACAGCACCACCACCCTTATTCCATATTTTGGCAACCCTCACTGTAAAGAATTTTTTCCTGATGTCCAATCTGAATTTGCTTTCTTCCAGTTTGTGGCCATTACTTCTAGTTACCCCAACAGGTGCCCTGTGTTACCAGATTTGCCCATTAATTTGGGGTGTGCTCATTTATAAGGGATAGTTTCTAGGGTCTTGGTGATTCTGTCAATGTGCTGCTTGTGTTACTATATGGAGCTGTATCTCTTCCTTCTGCAAGCCCTCACCCCCAATGGAGCTATCTTGCAGGACTCAATCTCAATGGGGCTGGGTTCCTCCAGTCATCAGATCAGTCATACACACAAACACACACAAATTAACGTGACATGCCTGACCTGGCCGGGCTGATCAGCATGGACAGGCTGACACCCTCATATGCCAAGAATCAGTTCATAAGAGCAACAATAAAATGCAGTCAGACACAAGCACACAGGT